GGATGCACAGTTACCAGAACCACTCTTGAAACGATGGAAGAGTTGGAGAAGCTCGTTGACTGAAGAATTGACAGTGCCCAGACCTCTTACACCTCATCGCGTTCCTGTCACTGGTATCGAACTGCACAGCTTTGGAGATGCAAGTTCCCAGGGAGTTTGTGCAGCGGTATACGCCGTCGTCCATCAAGCTGATGAAGTAACACAAGGACTTGTCTGTGCCAAATCTCGAATTGCCAAACGTAACCAAACCATCCCGTGTTTAGAATTAATAGCTGGTCACATGGCGGTTAACCTTGTATCAAACGTAGAAACAGTACTTAGCAATTACCACGTGGAGACCTTCTGCTGGCTCGACTCGACCGTGGCCCTTTACTGGATAAAGGGTAAAGGAGATTATCGTCAGTTCGTGGAGAACCGTGTGCGGAAAATTCAGGAGCATAGTCAAGTAAGCTGGCATCACGTACCAACAGCACAGAATCCTGCAGACGTGGGAAGTCGAGGCGGAGTTGTGGCAACTAATCAACTGTGGAGAGAAGGCCCTACATGGCTGAGAAATCGTTCTGAATGGCCTACAGACGTAACCTTAGAGGCAACCGCTGAAACAAGAGCCGAAGCCAAAGTGAAACAAGAAATCTTAGCAGTAGCATCGGTTGAGAAAGATGAGTTCGACCAGTTGCTCGACAAATTCAGCTTGGTTAAAGTCCTACGTATTGGAACCTGGATACAGCGCTTTCTTGAGAACTGCAGAACGAAGCCCAAGGAGAGAAAGAGCGGTCCGATCGATACGGAAGAAATTGAACGAGTGAAATTGTGATGGATAAAGCGTGCTCAGCTCCAAGCACAACAAGACGTACGATTTGAAGCTGATCAACTACACTTAAACCTTCAACCCAATAACCGAGGGATCTTAGAGTGTCGCGGTCGAATAGTCGGGGAATATCCAATTTACCTACCTGACCATCATCCATTCACCACGTCTTTAGTCCACCACGCACACATTACAACCCTCCACGGCGGCGTTGGAATGACAATGGCAAAAGTACGAGAACATCATTGGGTTCCGCGATTGTGCCAGCTGGTCAAGAAGATAAGATCGAAGTGCCATGGTTGCAAACGATTCCAGGCGAAAGCGTTCCAAACACCACCACCGGGAAAACTCCCAAGTACGAGAACACAAGGAACTGCACCTTTTCAAGTGTTCGGCGTAGATTTTGCAGGACCAATTAAGTACCAAGTCGAGGGCAAGAAAGAGAAGAAAGCTTATCTAGCACTATTTGCATGTAGCTTAACCAGAGCCGTGCATCTGGAGTTGGTAAGATCATTAGAGACGGAGGATTTCATCATGTGTTTTAAGAAATTTATTGCGAGAAGAGGGAGACCGGAACTAGTTTATTCAGACAATGGAACGACATTCAAGGCAGCGGCAAAGTGGTTGCAGAAGGTGAGAAAGGATGAGCAGTTTAATAACTATCTCGCGAAGCTGGAGATCAAATGGCAATTCAATCTGAGCCGCGCTCCCTGGTGGGGGGGGGGGGCAGTTTGAGCGGCTAATCGGTTTGTTTAAGAAAGCATTCTACAAGTCAATTGGGAATGGTGCGCTCAAATGGTCGGAGCTAGAAGAAGTAGTTTTGGACATAGAGGTAGCGTTGAACAATCGTCCACTCACATACATGGAAGATGACGTCCAACAACCAGTCCTCACACCGAATTCGTTGCTCCAAGTTAATCCTTGCCACCTGCCAGAGATGGAGACGTATCAAATTGAATGCAAGGACCTGAAGAAACGGGCAAAGGTTCTGAAGAGGTGCAAACTGTCGATGTGGAAGAGATGGAGTCGGGAATATGTGAGAAGCCTCCGTGAACAACAACGGAATTTGAGACGACAGAATGACCAGTCGTATCCAAAGGTTGGTGACGTAGTTGTTGTGCGAGATGAGGATCAACCACGGAACCGTTGGAGAATAGCTGTTGTAACCCGAATGATACATGGAAAAGACAATGTTGCACGGGGAGCTGTGTTGAAGACCGGAAAAGGTACATTAGAACGTGCTGTTCAACAGTTATTTCCCCTCGAACTTTCCTGTGATCGTGAACCGTGTCATCCCCTTAACCCAAACGCCCCAGAATACCGCCCGAGAACCACGAGAGCAGCTGCTACTGAAGCAAGGGAGAGAATTCGACAAATTGCGAGTGAGGAAGATTAGGTGAACAATATGGAACTTTGTTATGAACAATATGGAACTTTGATTTTTTTTCTGTGTTGGTGTAGTGTACTCAGGTGAATATGATATTTGTGGTGTTACTCTGAGCTGTGCATATCCACACCGGGCGAGCTTGAAAAATGTGCCCGGCCACGGTGGGATTCGAACCTACGACCTTTGGAATACTAGCCCAATGCTCTTCCAACTGAGCTACGCGGTCAGGACGGTTCGAGTAAGTGATATTTCGGAACAGAATCTAGTTCCTTCGATACCAATGTTTTCTAGTAATATGATTTTTTTTTTCTGTGTTGGTGTAGTGTACTCAGGTGAATATGATATTTGTGGTGTTACTCTGAGTGCATATCCACACCGGGCGAGCTTGAAAATATGCCCGGCCACGGTGGGATTCGAACCTACGACCTTTGGAATACTAGCCCAATGCTCTTCCAACTGAGCTACGCGGTCAGGACGGTTCGAGTAAGTGATATTTCGGAACAGAATCTAGTTCCTTCAATACCAATGTTTTCTAGTAATATGAATTTTTTTCTGTGTTGGTGTAATGTACTCAGGTGAATATGATATATTTGTGGTGTTACTCTGAGTGTATATCCACACCGGGCGAACTTGAAAAATATGCCCGGCCACGGTGGGATTCGAACCTACGACCTTTGGAATACTAGCCCAATGCTCTTCCAACTGAGCTACGCGGTCAGGACGGTTCGAGTAAGTGATATTTCGGAACAGAATCTAGTTCCTTCGATACCAATGTATTCTAGTAATATGATTTTTTTTCTGTGTTGGTGTAGTGTACTCAGGTGAATATGATATTTGTGGTGTTACTCTGAGTGCATATCCACACCGGGCGAGCTTGAAAAATATGCCCGGCCACGGTGGGATTCGAACCTACGACCTTTGGAATACTAGCCCAATAACAAAGTTCCATATTGTTATGAACAATATGGAACTTTGTTATGAACAATATGGAACTTTGTTATGAACCTTTAATGAACTTCTAAGGACTCTTATAGGTTATAGAACGTTAAGTAACATGTATATCATTTCAAGAGTCCGAAAGATAAGATACTCTATTCATATTAATTATGTTAAATTGTGCATGCTATGACGTAACGCAGCGGGGGGTTGCATGCAATGGGATATATTAAAACTGTGATTCTGAGAGAAAAGTAACTTTGTATTTCGAGTGATTAAACCTTTAAAACTAGTGATTTGTTGTGAAAACTTTCTTCAAACAAGAAATTCCAACACTGGGATTTGGCCACTGGGAATGGGAAATGAAGTCCTCAAAAATGGGAATGGGATTGAGGTAATGCGAGTCGATTCCCAATTTTTCCACGTTTTAAGTATTTTAAAATACAATTTTGATCCGTTTTTGGTGTCTTTGTGTCACACGGTGCGCACATACGGTGGCTTAAAAGGTCTTATTCTACCGATAAATAACTTTTTTTTATTGACTGGGATTTCAATAACTCGGACTGGGATTTCTAATAAAAATCCAACTGGGACTGGGATTTTGCCAAAATGTCAGGTGGGAAATGGGATTGGGACTCCCCCTTCAGGACCCTCTTATATAAGAATTAATTTACTAATCTAGGCAACTATATATAAAGAATACTAATTAGGATGGACTTTTATATAAAGAATACTAATTAGGATGGACTTTTAATTTATATAATGAATACTAATTAAGATGAGTTTTATCAGGTATAAAGACTCTTCACGTGACATGTTATGGTTGACATGTTTGCCAATAAGCTTATTATGAATTATTAACTAGAAGTTACTATCGCAAGGAAAGTGCTGCCGATAAACGTTATAAGGAATGGAATAAATATCATTAGCATGCATTTTGCAAGCATTTTATTTTCCTAAACATAATTTTATATGACATTGAATGTATATTGTACAAAAGAATGTTTTACTTTTCCATATAGAAGCATACAAAGAGTCTGTGGTTCTGACAAATTAAAGGTTCAAATTATCATAAACATGTATAAAATGTTTATTTTCAGTATTGTTGATATTTCAGAGCTGCCAAGTTCAGATGATTAATTAAAGGGGCAGTATGATCAATATTTTTATTCTGTTAAACCAAAGCTTAAACGAAAATGCTCGTAAAACTGTATAATAACTTGTTTTGAAGATATTTGTTCCCATGCTTAGTTCTTGAGATATTTCATTTTGTTTGTAACCATGTGACGTCATCTACTCAATTACATATTATAAATAATGAGATATCAGTAATTGTTGTGTATCTTTGCTATTTTTGACCAATTTGTTAAAAAACACAGTATGCTTAATGATGCAGGTCAAATTAACAAACGCGCCGCATTTTTCGAAATATTTTGATAAAAATAGCAAAGATACACAACAATTACTGATATCTCATTATATATGTAATTGAGTAAATGACGTCACATGGTTACAAACAAAATGAAATATCTCAAGAACTAAGCATGAGAACAAAAATCTTCAAAACAAGTTATTATACAGTTTTACGAGCGCTTTCGTTTAAGAAAATAAAAATTTTGATCATACTGCCCCCTTTAAAAACCTGGAGGTTATTAGCAGCGAGGCCAGTATAAACAGATGCATGGGCTGAACATGTCCATCATGCAATTCATTAGCATGCCCCATTAAAAAAAATGTTTTTATGGCCATTACAATGTTATTTCCTGCCCTAGAAAGTGTTAAAAGGTAATGATAAGAATACACCTTTCGAACATATATTGGTTTATCGAATAGTCGGCCTCTACCTCTGCTACTGAAACATTTTTTCATCAGATTTAGAATTAGAAAAAAATAGAAAATGTGCAGTGTTGTCAATCATATTCTTTGCATTTAAAGATGCAGAATTTAATCAACATAAACAATTTTTCTGAAATACGTTATACCATGAGATTTGTAAGTCCACCTGTGAAACATGGAGTTCAGCCCCAAAATCTGGAGACTCATTGGTAAACCATAAGACGTCGCAGTTCTGTCATTGAATTGGAAGCTATAATTGATCCCTATTTACGACTGATAAATTTGGGGCCAGCATAGAATATTATATTATATTATAACTTTACCACACAAAGAGTGGCAGGGTCACCACAACAGTATAAAAACCAATTACTGTGGGCCCTTTTACAAATATACTATATAAATATACAATTACATTAACATAACTTAATTTACGAGAACAAATACAACTATCAGGAACAAGAGAGTGGAGTAGCAAGACTACGAGCAGTGTTACATTTCAAACAGATTGATTTCCAAGTCCGGGGATTTTCAGATTCATAGTTTATATTGATAGCAGTAGTGTAATATCTATTTTTTTTTTTTTTTTTTTTTTTTTTTTTTTTTTTTTTTTTTTTTTGGGCTACATTCCAAAGGTCGTAGGTTCGAATCCCACCGTGGCCGGGCATATTTTTCAAGCTCGCCCGGTGTGGATATGCACTCAGAGTAACATCGCAAACATAGTGTAATATCTGTAAAGTAAATATTGAAATGTGGACAAGGAAAGAGAATATAAGTCAAACTGTGTTCCTGTACATACAAATTTCACATTTGCCTAACACAAAATGCCATTATCCATCCGAATCAAGTTGCAAATCGAGATTCTTTCTGGCTTTATATAGCTCGGGGAAAGGGACTGGCACTAATGCACAGGCATAGTAAACCTAAGCGTCAAGAATAGTGTGGTGCCTCCCTACGGTCGGCAGCAATGAGTGTTTGAAGCTATGAATCAGGTTTTGTGATTGGTTAATTATGACAATAAAATACAATGTAAATCTCTCTAAGTAATCTTGCGAATAATCTAGAAATAATCTTTCTATAAAGAACGAGTCACACCATAGTTAATAGTCACACACTGATCACCTTTGTTTCCAATTAATCCAAAAAGTGTTCATATTACTATATTAGGTAAGTATTCAGCCCAGTGCTGCATAGATAGTGTATAAGAAGGGAGATCTGGGAGAAACCCCAAAACAGTATGCATCCACAATAACTTGTCTTTATAAACCCTTTATAAAGAATGCAACACTCTGTATTTGTTAAAAAATGTAAAACATACCAATTTTGCCGCCAACTAAACGGTAAACCGGGCGCTGGAAATAGCTACGGATAAATCCAATTGGCAAATACAACAACGAACGCGTCGTTCTCGATGAACGCATTCAACACAGACAGCAGGTATTGTGTAAGTTTTGTTGGTGGTCAAACTGCGTGGAACCGCATGCTTACGAAGCACATTCTTGTTCACTGCAGACACTGGAAATTTCAAGTTTGTACTCTAGTCGTTTCTCGTCCAATAGTTTATTTAACAAGAAATACATAAGTAAATGTGATGCGTTAAAATTATGATGCGCATAACTGTGCTAAAATATCGTGCTCAACAAAATCCACATTAGATTATATTCTGCTTGTAGGCCACGACTTGACATGGTGTGATCAAAACCACGCCAAATACTAGTGATTCACCGATAATCGGTATCGGCATCTGGCCAATTTTTGCCTTATCGGTAAACAATCGGAATCGGTAGAATTATCCATATCCCCGATTGTGTAAAACAGATTGTTGAGAAAATATGCACTTTAAAAATTATATGCATTGCACGTTGATACACGTTAAATTAATGCGTGAATTAAGCTTGCCATTTATTAACGGTTTTAATTAACGATCTTTGGTTTCAGTAACATGTTAAACGACAAACGACAAACCGCTAACGAAGTTTTTGATTTTACGACTCTGTTATAACAGCTTTTACACCAGTTTTAAAATATATGAAACAACTAAACTTGTGGTATTTAACAATGATTTAAGAAAGCAAATTAACCACAGTTATGTATTCACCAAATCACTAAATTAAGATTCGTCGTTTGAAGTTGACGTTTGGCGTATAAATTTCATACTTGAACTGCATGCTACGAGGGCTAATTGTAGTCGTTAAAGCATGAAATTTATGCGCCACACGTAAACTTCAAACGCTAAATCTTATTTTATTGCTTTGGGGAATACGTGGCTATAGTGGCTAATTTGCTTTCTTAAATCATTGCTAAATACCACAAGTTTAATAAATGTTTAATATATTTCAAAACTGGTGTAAAAACTGTTATAATAAAGTTGTAAAATCAAAAACTTCGTTAGCGGTTTGACGTTTGCCGTAAACGTCAAGCTTGAGGTCTCTAATAGACCTTAACTACCAAATACCATAGCCTGTTTGTAATAGCTGGCGGTTTAATAATAATATTTAATCCACATAAATACCAAATTTGGTATATAGGAGACATAAAACATTATACGTCAACCCATATATAAACTCGAGTTAAGTAAGCTAATTATATTTAACTTTTCAAAAATTTAACTTTAACTTGTTTTGTCATGCTTCCTACGCCCGTGAAGACAAAGTAAAAGCATACTGACGTAATTATTTTACCGACGTGCATGTTATCATAATAGGACTGCATGGGCAAACTGTATTTTCTACTGATACGAACGATGATACGAAGTGAAAATAATTATTTACGTAATTATGACAGCCTGCAGGGTGCAACTTAGGTACGCCAATAGGGAGTTTCCGCAAGTAAGACGGCAACGTCAGGACGGCTATCAATACAATGCCATTAATCCTGTAGCACAAAAGAAATGAATAATTAAAAGTATGGCAGGAGTTTCAGACGTCGTCCAGGTTCTGATGACGACGGCAAAATGCATATTTTCACGCTCGTAGTCGTAGAGTGCATTCAAACATTTTTTTAACAG